ATATTTGTTTTAATGGCTTCACTAGTACAGAGATGAATAAAAAATAAACAAGAAAGAAATGCATTATCAGTTAATATTATACAATTTTATGGAGCAATAGCTGGGTATATTAATATGGGGAGGGGACCATTGTTGGTGGTCTTAAATTGCCAGTATATTTCACTTGCCAGGAAATGCAGTATCCCCCAGTTACCTGGTTGCATTTGTGTTTACAACCGTATTTCATAGGAATGAACTGTCTAAAGTGGTGCTAAATAGAACTGCATCCGGTGTGTGCTTTGCATGTTAAGGACTCTGCATGAGCACAGCTCCACCCCTTTTTATAATTTGCTCCCTAATTAATAGCACCTTGAGAAGGCTGCTGAGGCTGCCAAAAGTAGCCTGTAAGGGAACCAGAGACAAATATTTTTAGAGGGAAGAACTGTCCTTTTATAAATTAAAAAAAAGAAAATCTTCAGGAAGTGTCGGCCTCTTAGTCACCCCTCCCTTGCCCCAGGCTTTGAGACTTAGAATTGATATTTAAAATACAAAGCTTTTGTATCCTTTAATAGTGTTGCTATTACATCAACAGCTGCAACGTTATACAGTTATTCATTGCTTATTTTTAAGCTGGATTAATAAATTGTATGACAAAACAGGGTGTATGCAAAAGAGAATTTCATACAGTTACAATTACATACAATTACATTGCTTGATTTGCATCATTAAATATTTCAGATGCATCATTAACTTGCTTATAATCTTTTATTATTTTTAATAGAGACATTATGAAAATCTAAACTGCCTCATCCTGCAGTGCAAAAATAAATGTTCATTTTTAAGGCAGTCTGTTACATGTCAGAAGGTATTTTAAGGAGATCTGAAAGAGCCCTTGTTTGCTCTTGGGAAATCATAAGTTGTAAATATTCCACTTTACAGCTTATGCTTTTATAAGCAAAGCTGTGACCAGGGGCCATACACACGATCTGCAAAGTCACTAAGCAAAACTTTGATTTGTATGATCAGAAAAAAAAAATAGGAAATTTTAGTGAGGATTTTTCTAAAATAGATCGCTCTTTTTTTACATGCAAAAGCAGAATTGCTAAGGAGCTTGGGAATTGGGCTGTGGTATCGTGTAGAGAATCCTGGTTCAGGAACAGCCTTGGGTCTTAGATGTTTCATGCTTGAAGGGTGGGGACCACATTGCTCTTCAGTAACCCTTTCGGAATGCCTGCATCCCAACCTGAAAGCCAAAGGAAAGGTGTCTCAGAAGCAGTCAGCGCTGGGGATGGGAGAACTACACTATAACAGTTAAGGGGGTTCTTATTCAGAGCCACAGCAGAGAAACAAAGGAGCCTCGATAGAAATCTTTGAACATTACTCCACATGTTAATCACCACTGTCGGTCCTTATTTCATCTTGTAACCAAAATGATGCTGTCAGTGTTTCCCAGCATGTAAAATGGCAGCTCCTGCTGTTTAGTGTCATAAATCATTTGTGCTAGCATAAGAGCATAAGAATGGCCATATTGGGTCAGACCAATGGTCCATCTAGCTCAGTATCCTGTCTTCCGACAGTGGCTGGTGCCAGATGCTTCAGTGGGAATGAACAGAACAGGGCAATTAGCAAGAGACCAATTCCCTATCTCCCAATCCCAGCTTCTGGCAGTCAGAGGCTTAGGGACACCCAGAGCATGGGGCTGCATCCCTGACCTATCCTCCATGAACTTATCCGATTCTTTTTTGAACGCAGTTATACTTTTGGCCTTCACAACATCCGCTGGCAACAAGTTCCACGGGATGACTGTGCATTGTGTGAAGAAATACTTCCTTATGTTTGTTTTAAACCTGCTGCCTATTAATTCAATTGGGTGACCCCTGGTTCTTCTGTTCTCCACAACTGCTGGCCTGATTCTGTGAAGTGCTGAACATCTGTTTGTGACTGGAGAGTGCTTGGCATGACACAGGAGGCACGTAGCACCTCACAGATCTTGGCCCTTCATTAGAGAGTTGTCTGTGTCTGATCAGTTTTACTTGGAGAGCCAAAGCTTGGAGAATTTAGGCGTTTTGCAACTGGAAAATTTTAGTATCACTGGGAAAGTTTTTGTTTGTTCACTGTGGCAAAGAGCAGTTTGTGCCCTTAGTGGAAACTTCTTTCTCTGTCCTTCTGTTACAAATGCCAGAGACTCAAGTTTTGTTATCCCAGATCTGGTTAATTTGAAAAGCAACATCTGGACAGGGTCTTGTCTTATGTCCCAATCATTTTGCCACTCGTATTGGATGATGTTTGCTTTGCTTGTTTTACCAAGTCCTGGGACTCCAGCATTATGTGCTTACCCTTATAGTCTGGCCAGCTGTTCTCTGCCTGCAATGACATTTTTTAAGCAGCACAGGGATCAGCAAGGCAACCAGACCAAAGTTAGGGGTGCAGAATATAAACCCAAGCTGCAAGAGACCCATCTATCCCCACTGAACATTGAACGGGCTCCAGGATCTATAAATCTTCCTGTTTTTCAGTTGCTTTCTTAGAGGATGGTGGGGGTCTCCACTAAGCAGTGTTAATTTAGGAAAACTTGGAATTTGGGGAATATTATCAAAATGTCACCATTGAGCACTAGTGAAATTTTAACCCCCAAAATATTGCACTTTTGGGGGGGGGGGGGGCTAAACTTACATAAGTGTCAACTAGAGAGGTCATCTTCAATATGGTCTTTGAAACCAGAGATACTGAGGCATCAACCATAACCAGCAGCCAACGGAAGAGTGGGATTTTCATATGGATGCCAGGAGTGAAGTCTTGGTAGGCATCCAGCATGAATCACAAAGGCAATTGGAAAACAACCCACATAGGACTCAAGAAATGGTTGAACAAACTCCAAGAGGCCATAAGACACTAACTGCCACACACCACTCATAATGTGTTCTTGTTGATCTAGTTCAGGTGCTGTGTAGTTTTAATGGAGAGGGAGAGGAGCACTCAGGGACTGTGGTAATGAGCCTGGCATGGGCGGGGAGAGAGAAATTGCAAAAGGTGGAAATTGTTTAAGCTACTTCTGATGAAAAAAGCAATTAAAGTCTTACGCTGGAAGCTGCAGTTTGCATTAGTTTTTCAGGTGATTGTTTCATTGTTTCTTTCCTGGTGTTGAAACGAGGTCCTTATAGACTGGAGTCAGTGGCGCCTGCCATTTGATTTGTGTAGTTTTAGGAGGTGCTAATACCGACAGAGCTCTAAGTCTGACAAATATTTTTACGTAACTGCCTTTTTAAGTGCTGTTTTCTTGTATATGTGAATCTATCCTTGCAATTGCACTTAAAAGTGTAACAAGTGCCCATAGTTCAAATCTCATCTTTTGGAAAAAACCTGTTGTTTTAAAAATAATATCTGTATTTCGAACCTGTCTTTAGGTAATTACAGAATTCCCGATCTTCATCAGCAAAGAGCTTGTACAGAAATCTATTTGGAGATATTTAAAAGTTAAAAGTGCTAGTGACAAAACTTAAATCCTTCCAGTGGATCTGATCCTTACAGCCCTTACTCAGTTATAGCTCCTATTACAGTCAATGAGATTTTTATTTAAGTACTTCAGGATCATGCCCTACGGGTCCTCAATCTGTTTGGCTGGCCCCAAATAAATAGCAGAATGATCATAAGCCATCTTTTCAAAATCAATAACTGGGAGTGAGTTTGATGAAATGGAAATCATTGGCATGATTCAAAGATAAAACTAGGGAAATGATTACAACATACATATGCTAGAAAAGCACCAGAATAAAAATGAGTGTTTTGTGTTCCTGGGTGTTTATCATTACCAGGTGGAGTTTACAGAGCTATTTGCTATATATACCTATGTATAAGCGAACTTCTTTTTTGGGCAAAGTCTGAGGGTATCTGTTTATTAGGTAGATCAGCCTCAGCTGTCCAGCCCTCTGTTAGGAGAAGAGAAAGGTCATTAGTGCAACTGCTGGGTGCACTCAGGGTCGGCTCCAGCTTTTTTGCCGCCCCAAGTGGCGAAGCAACAAAAACAAAACAAAACCAAAAAAAAGATAAAGCCAACCGGCGGCACTTAGGCAGCAGCTCAAAGAGGAAGAGAGGGACTGAGAGACCTGCCGCTGAATTGCCGCCGAAGACCCGGATGTGCCGCCCCTTTCCATTGGCCGCCCCAAGCACCTGCTTCCTTCGCTGGTCCCTGGAGCCGGCCCTGGGTGCAGTACAGGATGAGCAGCAAGGGAAGGGAGCAGACATAGCTTATAAGCTCCAAATGCTATACTAATAAGCAGCAGGTTCCTCTTTACGTGCCTAGGGTGTGAGCATCTCCTGCAGAGGCAGCTGTCTGGTACTACGTATACCTTTGTATACACTCCAGTTGAATGCGTTGGTGCTCATGGCCCCTCTGAAGAGTAGGCCACTTTTATGTAGATCCCTTAGTAAGGACTTAGGCTCCTCAGTTTAGGCACCCAATTGGAAAATGCTGGCTTCAGGGCAGTGGTCCCCAAACTGTGGGGCGTGCCCCCCTTGGGGGACGCGGAGGAACATTCGGAGAGGCATGTGCAGTGGGGCCTGGGCCAGTCCTTACGGGGGGCGGGGAGAGAGTGCCACCCAGCACCATTCTGATCCCAGCTGTGCTCCATCTCTGGCCCCGCCCCCAGCCGCAGCTCCGCTCTCAACCCAGGGTTCCAGCCCCAGCTGAGGCTCCACTCCTGACCGCCTCCCGGAATTTCAATTAGGCCATGGCCCCGCTCCGAGCCCCAGCCCCGGCTCCTGACAGCGGCTCCCCTGGGGGCGTGGCCGATTCCATTATGGGTAAGGTGGGGTGCGACAGAAAAAGTTTGGGGACCACTGCTTTAGGTTTGCTGCTTTGTTGAGACACCTCATCTAAGTATGTTTTGGGTTTGTGGTATTTTGGTCAGAGTGGGAGCAATAAAGTAATGAGGGCTGGCTTTGGGCAAACATTTTTTAGGTTCAGAAATCATAAAATGATGCAAGTCATAAGACTGCTTATAATTTCTCTTTTTTCCTTACAGGATTACGCTCACCACTCTTCAGGAGGGAAACAGAACCTAATGAGGGGACCAATGATTTGAAGGAACCGTGGCCCTGTCTCCTTTTTCTCTCTCTTGTGGATTTCATTTAAAAGAAAACTGAAGCTGGCAAGACCCAGTTTTTCCCTGCAATTTACTTAAAACCTTGCACGCATTTGGATACCTTGTGATTTCAGAGAACTATGTGAAGATTTAGCTTTTGCTTACTGGTACATGGGATGTACTCTTTTCAGCCTTTTGTGTTTGATTTTGTTTGATTTTCCACTGCAGCACAGCGTCTTTGTAAAGATTTTTATGCTTACACCAGCAAGGTCTTAAATACGTTAAGACAACACATTTGGTGTTCACACTTGTTCAGTAATGTCTGTACATAAAAGTCAATAGTGGCATAAAAATGTGTGTTTTCTTTGAGAGTTGGGCATATTTTTCAACCAGTAGGGAGGCTATTTCTAGCTAGAGCAAGCCCAAGTCCTCAGATTGACTGACAAGTACAGTATCTTGCCATTATTCCTAAAGTGGATTTTTACCTCTTCAGAATGTTCACATCCATTTTTTTTTAAAAACCTGGAAATAATTGCATGTTTATTTAGAACTCAGAATTTGGTTATTCTGCATAGGCTGCGTAGCATGCCACTTTACAAAATAGGCCTGCAGTGAAGAAAAAATGACAGGACATACTATACTAACAGATACAGTCATGAATTCCTTACCCTTTGCTAATATAGATTTTTAAATATGTTTTATAAGTCTTGGCTCCATCTTTACTTACTTTTTCCACACCCTATTTAACTTCTGGAATATTTTCTGAAAAAGAAAACAGAAAGAGCATGAAACAGAATTGAGTTTACTTTAGGACAGACCCTAGGGTGCAGAAACAGTATTTGTTGAATGAGCCACTAAAACTACCTTTGTTGTTTTGCTTCTTAGAAAGCAAAATGAAAAGTCACCCTGATCTAAAATGTTTGCTGTTCCACACCAAAGCACTTTCACTTATTTTCCTTAGACATTTTAATCTGATTGAAGGACGCCACCAGCTACTGTGTATTTAAGTTCTTTTTTGACTGAATCACGCAAATGCAAACTTGGCAAACAGTGCAGTCATGTCATTTTAAAAAAGGAGACCTCTGCTCCCCTGGATTGGGGAGGCAGGGCTTGAGGGGAACTTGTGGAATATGACCGCCCTAATGTACGAAACTTTGAATTCAGAGAGACTGGGAATGGGGCAAATCCTGCTGTTGAGTTATAATGGTGCTTGAACAGAAGGGCTTGTTAGGCTATTTTATTCAAAACGTAAAGTTCCTCTGCTTCCTGGATGCATCAACTGCCAAAAAAACACACTGGTTTAGCATGTAATGTTTTGTTTGGAGGGAAGGGGGAAAAGAGTTGGGTTACTGCCCCTTTATTAAACTCTAGCAGTGTTTTTGTTGGGAACTAGGAAAGAACACCCAACAAGGCAAATCCTGGATTGTTCAAAAGCTCCCAGTAGAGGTTTCCTCTTATGAACTACAGTAAATATTGTTCTGTACTTTCAAACACAGTTATGGTGTGAAAATATACTCAATAGCTGCACGGTCATTAAAACCATATGTCCCCTGTGACATCTCTGTTGTTTAGAAACTTGTAAAAACTACATGAAAGCTACTTAAATCACAATCCTATTTTAAAACTTACCACAACTTCATTCTGGTACTTACAAGGACAAGAGGTGGAAAAAATAAGCAGCAAGCCCACTGAACTTTTCAAACTCATCACAAACTAAAATTGCCTTATGTCATTTGCTTTGAGTTACATGCTTCATTTTACTTTTTAGAGAAAAATCTTTTGTACATTATCTTTGCTACTTAAATCATATGCAATCTGATGTTTAAAATTAGCTATTTTTTAAGAAAGGCTTTACTTCAAAAATCTGTAGAATTTTTGAAAACGTAACAAAGCTTTCAATTAGGAAAATAAGGGCAGTTCCTTAGACATATATCTTTTACTTTGGCAGCTTAAATAGGGAGGGTGAGCAATTATGTTGCTCCATGAAACATCTGGTGGTTTGATATAGAGAGTAATTCCCCAAACTGTTCCCTTCGGAGGGATACAAGTCTAGCACCTTACTTATCCATGGTAAATCAAGCATAGCATTTGCTTAAATCAAGTGTATATCCCTCTCTTCTCTCCCCCTTTTAAACAACCATTGAAATCGTTAATGGTTATGGCCAAAATGTTCAAAGTTGAGTGCCTGAAGTTGGGTATGTGAATTTAGATTTAGGTGCCTCAATAGAAAGTGACTCAATTTTCAAAGGGGCTGAGCACCTCTGAACTCCCAGTAGAGTTTTGGGAACTCAGCATTCCTGACAATCAGGTCACTTATTTACACACCTAACTTCAAACACCCAAGTTTGAACATTGTGGCCTGTGCTCATTAGCAGATTTATTATTCTCTTGCGGAAGTTCTGAAGTGTGAGCGTTTCTGTCTTGGTGGATGGATAACTTTTATTCAGACAGCTGATGGGGTTGGGAGTAAGACTTTGAAAAGGTTCACACAGATCCCCAAACCCACTCAACAGCAGATAGGGCTCCGAGTTCTAGTGCAACTGCAAACATCAGGCCAGGTGCCAACAAGCTCCCTAGCCCTGGGTGGTTGTGATTGTACAGCCCCGCTCCCCCTCCCTCTCCTTCCAGCAGCCCCTACTTAGTGAGTTGTCACCCTGCAATACCCATCAACTAGGAACCCCAACTAAACATTGGATCTCTCTTTGGAAGGCCAAACAATCCTCCTGCTGCAGCATCCTGAAACTGGGTGTTTCCTCCACTGCTCCCCTAAGAAGTGCTGGCTGACCATTTTCCCTCTAAATACATTGCAGGAGGCACCGCACAGGCCCACTGCTGACCCCCAAATCTAACAGGGTCTTCAGAGAAGCAAGAGGCGGCAAATGGGCTCTGGAAGAGAGGAGCAGGAGCTAGGAAAGAATCCTCCTCCTGCTGTCAGCCGCTGCATTCTGTTAGTAGCACTTCACACCCCTGAGCCCGGGGCTAGCGGCTGGGTATTGGTAGGAATGGCCATTACTCCCTAGAGCACAATAGTTTGTGAAGCTATGGGACACTACCTGCCCCTAGTCAATAATACCATGGCTGGCAGCAACAGTGGAATAATTTCCCTTCTACCACCTTGCTGGTCCTTTGATGCTTCCTGATGTTGAGGGGAGGTGCTTGCTTTGCCTGAGGGAAGGGGGGCAGCTGTCTGGCATCCCTGAAAATCCAGGGGAGTGGCAGTGGGCCAATAAAAGTGCAAAGGCATGTCCTAGCTCCATAAAGACATTAATAGTAGGTGGAGAGGAAAGGAGAGGTGGTGATGGGGATGATCTGAGGGAAGGGAGGATTTCTTAGAAGTTCAGGTCTGTAGAACGTAACCATATACGTTACCATCTCCAGCTGGCTTTGATCTTCAATCCTGCTGGGTTCAGTTCATCTGTCCCACATGAACCAGACCCAGCAGGGAGTTGCACAGCACTAGTCAGGACCCCTTAGCACTATGATAGTATCAACATTACATCACTGCATAGTATCCTGGATTGGGTGGTGGTTTTTTTTTTTTCAGAAAAACATTGTTTAGGATAGCAAATCTGTTCATGCAGCACATGAAAACTCTATCTGCAATGCTGCAGACATTAGGGGCTATTCTTGCCTTTGGTGTGAGGGAGAACTTTACACCGGGAACTCCCACTAATGCTAAAGGATGTTACAGTAATCAATTCCCCCTGATTGGTGGGAGAAATACACCTCAGTGTGTTCTTTGTAAGTGCACACATGACTAAACGTGTTATCAATTCTCTATGTTATGCTTCTATACAAAATACTCATCTGTGAATATTATTGGTTTTGTAACCTTTGTTTATATAAAATGATGTTTAGGCTGTACATACTTGGGGGCAAACTACTGACATCCCATATAAATAGAAATATGTTGTTTTGCCACCTATAACAATAATCTCCCCTACCAACATAACTGTATGTTACCGCCTTGCATTTTTTTCACATAAGCAACAATAAAAGGATGCACAAAAAATCCCACCCAAAAAATGCATTTTGACAGTGCTGCATACAAAATCCCTACTCACCAACTTCAGTTGGGCTTTTTGTATGATGCATTAAGAGGCATTCTTTTTAACGGGGTTGGTACATGAAAACAATGTTAATGTACTTTTATATATATATAAAAATTTATATATGTATAAAATACATACACATACTTCTGAGCAGCAGCATAGTAAGCAGTACAGTAAAATAAATGTGACATTTGTTACAATTTGTAATTTGTCTGTATTATGAAAGATGTAATGGTTTGTCAGCTGTAACTGTTTTCTTGTAACATGATATTGAATAAAGTATAGCAGAATCTCTCTATTCTCCTTGGTGTTTGCTGTGTAGAACTACCATGCAGTACAAATTTCTTTGCGGATAAATGAAAAGCATAGTGCTTGTAAACATTTTTTTAAAACTTTTTGTTAAGGCAACATTACAATAAATCATTAACATACTTCACTGTACATTACTTATTCAGGATCAAGTAAATATTTAAAGAACATGACTAAAGATTCTGGCTGGGGAGCCCTGAGGAATATGCTAGAAAGGATGGCCAAATTTCTAAATACTTATCCTGGTTTTGGTGCTTCTCTTTGTGTACATACTTGCTGGAAATCTTTTCCATTACAAGGACAGTGCATATTTTACTATACTATAATTCCAGAGGAGGAGGGGTCCCACATTTCCAATAATGTGCAATCCTGGGTCTAGCCACTAACCATAAAAAGGATATTAATTTGTCATTCTGTTTAAAATGTAGATCTTTTACTGAAGCATTATGTAAGCAGGTCAGGGGATCCCTGGGAAGCTGGCATTTTGACGTAAGAAGAATCTTTTTAATCACCACATGTGCAAATATGTTCCCCTTTCTCTGCAAACCCCTCCAATAGAGCCCCTCTCTACTAGCAAAAATATGATGGATCTCAACTGGAGTCAAAGGCCATCTATAGAAATCTTCTTTACGAGCTATACAAATTGAAAATAATTATATTTTAAGGAATGGAAACTACAGCAAAAAGCACTCTGTAGCCGATAAATTGAAGAGTCTTTAGACCCTGATTCAGCCAAGCATGTAAGCACATACTTAGTTTTAAGCACATAATGAAGCACGTCCCTATTCAGCAAACCACTTAAACACATGCTTAGACAAGCCTTTGAAATCAGTGGGATGTCAGCACATGCTTCATTTTAAAATGAAGCATGTGCTTAAATGCTTTGCTGAATTGTGGCATTAGTGAAGTAAATTTTAAATATATAATTATTCTACTTTTAATTTCATGTTTCAGAATACTCTGCTGAATTCTGTATCAGGATAATAGTGCACAGAAGAGGTTATTTAAAAAAAACAACAGGTGATACTATCAATATAGGGCAAACAAAAATACAACAATAAATACAGTTGAAGTTCTATCTATCTAGACTTAATATGATGTTAATTGCTTGGTTGGAGGGATGTTTGGGGTTTTTTATCATTTTGTTATGAACATAATAGACCTAGTCACAGTATGCTTTCCTTTAAAAAAACAGTGACCTATTTTTAAGTGGCAATAGGCTGTTTCCTAGCAAAAAATTTCTGAGCAAAAATGGGCCCATTTTTAGAGATGGTATTTATATTAAAAATATACCCAAGATATAGTTTTGAATGTGGTATGAAAATTACTATTGCATCAAACTGAGACATCAAACTCTGATGTGTTGCAAGCTC